ATCCAACGATCCCAGTGTGGATCGAACCCCGAGGACCTCAAAGGTGAAACGAAGGCATTCCATCCACTCGGTAACCGAGCACTGGAGTTATTGTCGTTTGGCTGGTTGGTTGCAGGTACGATTTCGTAAACACAGCTAGCAGGGAATCCCAATATGAAAGTAGTTTGGGTTGTCAAAAGAGAGTGATCTACGAACAATTCGCTTTTTACCTGAACATTGCGGACCCATGCATCATTTTGGCTTCGACTGTTTACAAGTTACCCATTGTATACTCCATTCACTTATCCTCTAGGAAGCAAGATATTCAGTAGTACAACATGTCCATAAGTCCTGCTCTTATCTTTTGGCAAACGTGTACTAATCTCCTCACAGAACCCTTCACGTCCGCTGATAATGCATCCTGAGTTACAGGTTTACCACACTCTTAAAGTCCTTTCACCATTCATTCTCTGCATGAATTCTCCTATTTTACTTTCTTCCATCAAAGCGCTTTCGTTGAATTGTTATTGCAATTTCTGGGCCTAAACAAAAATACTCCTACATTATCACCAGTTTGTATTACGGTATCAGAGTTCCCAGTGACTTCAGTCGGTTTATCAGTATGTCAAAACAGGTATTGACCTAAACTTGTGCAATACCGCGACTTTCATCACATTTGCTCCTCCCAACGCTTAGTACATCGACCCTCATTCGCGGGATTGAATACGACACGACCCCATGTTAGACGCAGCATATAAGCACTAATATTCTTCTACTGGTCGAAGGACATTAAGACGCACTATTTTCCGATTTCGACCACGGTTCCTGGTGCATCAGATGCAAGATAACAAATCCTCAGTAAATAAAGTTATTAGAATTCAGTCCTTCTTTACTTTTGGGCACTGGAGACAGCGTTTTTTCATGGATTCCACCAATGTGACTAACAGTATTTGCCGATTTCCTCTAATACACGCCTCATTCTGATCCAGGACAACCAGTGTCGAGGTAGATAACTAATCCTTATTTCTAACAAAGGGAAACGTTCTCGATTGCATTCGAATCTCAACCGCTATGAGATAAGTGAGTAACTTCGGCATTGGACTTAGCCCAACCAGAAACTGCATAAATGTGAAAGAAACAATGTTTATTGAAGTCTAACCATTTTTGACTACCAAACGTTCAAATTAGGCCATCATTTTCCAATCAGTGTAGTGAAAATATTGTAGTTAATCCTCTTCCATATAGATTGTGTACAACTTTTACTAGCTGCGATCGCATTTAACCATCGTCTTGCTTCGATGTGTTCCGTTTTCTCCTTCTTGGTGCCTATGTCTTATTGGGGGAATTACGTTGGTTATGCAATCCATTGGGCTTGTGTGCACATTGAATCACTTGCGCAAGTCAGAAATTGATTCGTCGGAGTTTTGTGCGCGAAAATGAAGGTTGCGCAAATGCAAGTGGTGATACAAGAGAACTAAGAACGTTGTGATGGGAGAAAATGTTCGGACTAAATACACTTTACCCATAGCTATCCATATAAAAAATGTCTTTTTACTTCCTTTTTCTATTTATTGAATATATAAATGTGCAGTCAACTTTCAGGAAGGGGTTGCGGCCATACAGAGACTGCCTGGAGAAAATACAGATGCAGGGAAGACGAGCGGCGGTGGTGCGGTTTGAACCCGGGACACAAAGGCCATTAGTTGGAGACCTAACCACTTGGCCAGCACCGCCCATATTGGAAACTGAAATTTATTTTCAAAATGAGAGTCATGTTGTACGTTTCGATCAACACCTGAAGGTGTACTTTGAGAAGCTGACTCCCCGGTAGCACTGGAAATATATTGGACTTCAGGAATTTCATTCTTATAAATTTTGATTGCATTTCCCAATAGCTTCATTTCCGCAAGGGTCGATATTTTATTTCATGTTATGATTGAAGAAAAATTTGCACTTATGCTGAGATATTCAAAGAACTACAGCACGCTCAACTATTCCGAAGCTATTAATCAACAAATCCTGTGAATTTCCCGGTGATATGTATGTGATATCGTCATATTTGGTATCATGGTGTCATCAGAGGTACTCTGTGTTCTATCCATTTTTATCTTTAAATTTGTTGATTGTTACATTTGAAGGCAAGCCAACTCAAAATGATTTCATACTTACACGGATGTTAACCAGTGTTAGGGCGAACAGTTTTAGATCTGCATGGTCTTCTTTTGAACGATGCTTATGTTTTAAAATCTTTTTGTGTCTTTAAACAAGTGATTTCACCATTTATTTCCTAGACATACTGGCTGCGATCCCGTAATCAAATGAGCACTCTCGATGCAAAGTTGCGCAACTCTAACCTTTAGACAGCAGAAAGAACACAACCACCAAACAGGTCCAGACCTAAAAAGTCATCATTCGCATTCATGAACAAGGGCTGGTTTGCAGCACAGCCTCTTATACGAATATTCATCATAATTCAATAGTGACGTATTTCCCGGGCATTCTATCTGACAACGAAAAGATCGTACGTGGATTGTTTCCAAGTGTAGAAAACCGATTATCTCAGTAAATGAAAAATGCCCAGTGCCACATTGAAAATAAAGTCCGGTAGGCGAAATATGCTGTTTTGCGATAACTTTATCAACTGACATTTACAATTGCATAGGGTTATTTGGGTTCGTCGATCTAGTTTTTGATAGCATCAAACTAGCATACGGAAAGTATGCTAAGATTGTTGACCTGATACTCATCTCCAGTACTTCCTTGGTGCTTCCCCCGGGTTGGGGAGGGTTTCTTCAACTGAGGCTACGGCAAGGATAGAACCCGGAAAATCTGCTTTGGGATGCATAGGGAGGATCCAACGTTTGGATAGCTAACGCCTCGACTGTGCACAGAACGACAAAACAAAGTTGCTTTGGCAGAGATGATGGCGTGTGATAAATGGTGTGGAAAGCCTGATCAACATTGATAGTGTGCCGTGTCTCCAGTATTTGTTGACAGATAACACTTTTCGCCGTCATAGATTCAACCAACGAGGGTGGTGTTCGCGTACCCTCTTTGAAAGCTGACTCCTAGTTCAGCCGAACTCTCCACAGGAGCAAGTGAACGCATCAAGGCACATGGATGCGCCTTGAGAGGGCAGTTTATCTTCGAGGTGGAACCGTATTGCTGACGATTTAGTGAAATCCATGCGCAGTACAGCTGTCGCAAATGTTTGACGCAACGCTTGACTGACCCGTTGTGTAAGCCACTCAGCCTGGTTATCACCTTAGAATAGTAGATGCAAATAGAACGGTCTATTTTCCAAAGGTGAATTCGTCGTGTATAGAGCAAATGAAGCGTGAACTGAAAAGCTAGCAAGCATTGGATAGCTGTTTCGACCAAGATGAGTCTCATCAGCAGTGGGACCGAACCCGGGACCCCACNCACAGGCAGAACGTAAGCATGCTCCCTACTAGGCCACCGGGCAGCTGATCGGTCCTTTTTCATTTTTCATTTACACGTTTTAGCACAATCCATCTTTGCAAGCTTGTTGCGAGTATCGGTCCTCGCTTATCTCAGTACTAGCCATCGGAGTTATGACTCGTTTGGAAATATTCACAATCTGACT